GTCGTTTGAAGTGTTTGAATAACCTCACAGGTTCAGTTACAACCTAAGGCATTTTCTTCTTTGTAATTTGCATGAAGCAATTTATGTTGAGATCATTCTGGTCCTAAAACAGCAGAATGTACTGTCAACCATTTGTCTTATGGTTGCACGAGTAAATAATATATATATATATATATATATATATTTGCATTTGTGCTTACTATTTTCATGTTGATATTATTACCTCTGTTAAGCATTTCTTTGAAGCCTTCAAAATTTTGTTTCCCAGTTATTTATTCTTAATATAACGTTTTTTATTAACAAAAATAAAAAATAAATTAGTTTGACGATTTTGTGTATTCGTGAAGTAAAAGAAATAGCACAGCTGAAGGAGGACAAGTATTATTATTATAATTATCCAGGCCTCCGCAAAAGAAACAACTATTGCGTCTAGTTACTGATTGCAATCTGGACATATATCTTTACATTTAAAGTCTGTTTGTTTTTGTAGTTAAGCACAAAGCTACACAATGGGTTATCTGTTCTCTGCCCACCACGGGTATCGAAACCAAGTATTTAGCGTTGTAAATCCGCTGTGCCACTGGGGGGCTACATTTACAGCATTAGTTTGACACGAATATCTACAGAGAGCCAAAACCGGAGTTTCACTTCTTTTGTTATAGAAATTATCGTTTTCCTGTAAATTCATGTATGGTGGACATTTCTTTTAACTTTAATTAAAAAAAGAAGTTCATCTGATTCAGAACAACAAAAAGAACGTAAACATATTTGAAACAATCATGCCAATAAAACAACAAGAACAAAAAACATGCCAAATCATTGTTACATTACATAAGAAAAAAAAAGAATAAAAATAATACTATCAGATATACTCTTAGATGACTAAATCTTCTGGGTTCTATGATAGATTGTTTAGACACAATACTCATGATAAAACTATGATAAGTTGAATGGAATGTAACTGCCTGTTGTAGAAACACATGTGTAGAGGAAGAGTTTCGAAACGTCGTCCTCTACACTTGTGTTTGTACAACAGGTAGTTGCCGTCCATTCAATTTAGTTTCATTCAATCTTCTGAATTGTATCTGATCTTAGATAAACACCTGTAGGTTCAGCTTTAATATCGCTTCAAAGGCAGTCATCTTTCAGTATAATTATAGAAAGAGACATATATATATATATTGTAAAATAGTGTACAGGATGACCGAAGAAAAAGGACTAAACCTATAATCTATATCCTCTAAAGACGTAGAGAGAGAGAGACGATAGAAGAAA